GTAACCGCTAGTCTAATTAATGCAACTCTACATGCGTATTTTTGTTTGTGCAGTGGCAATTACCATCAGGAAGCACCAGAACTGGGGAGGAACGAGCTTGACCTGACCCTGGAACCACTATATTCTAGCCACCTCCGATGCTTTTGAAAACTTGTTTACTTTGAGGTTGATGATATTATAAAACTGCAGGCATAACAATTCTATGTCGTCGTGTTTGAATGCTTTATCTATGGCTCTCATGGTATATGGTTTTCCCAGCTTTTATGACATTAATTTGAAGTGTTTTTGTTGTAAGCATCTTGAATTTGAAATCAAATTGTATTTGTGGATCCGGCGAACTTTCTCAATAATTGAATATACAAATTCATTAAAATAATAAGAAGTATGTTGAAATTACTTGTCTAAATATATTAGACAAGAAATCACTACAGGTAAATTTTTTTTTTTTTGGAGAATTTCATTACGGCTAATCTGTTATATATTATATTGTAGTCCAAATTTGTAATTGTTAGGATATTCAAGTGTGATAAGTTTCGCATTGGTTGGTAATAGACTAAGTGAAGAGTATATAAGTGGAAGGATCCATTATAAGTCCCATATTGGTTGGTAATGGGCTAAGAGAAGAGTATATAAGTGGAAGGATTCATTAATTCAATGTCTTAAGGTTTTGGGTTGAGATGCGGTGTCAGACCCATTTGGTGTATTTAGGCTAACTTAGCCCATTGGTGGTGGTCCCCCGCCACAGCACCATATCGCGCCAGTAGCATGATATTAGTGAAAATAATAAAAAAAAATATAAAAATATTGGAATAAAAATAAAAAATAAATATTAAAATAATATAATAATAATAATAGAATAAAAAGAGAAGATTATATTTTTCTTAAAGCCATGGTCAAAGATTAGATTTCTTAAAAGTCAAGGCAAAAAGATGACTCTTATCTATATAATGATTAGTTAGTTAGATTTTTATTTAGTTTGATTGAAACTTAACTATATGTAACAATTAGATCTAGTTAGATTTTTAGTCAGCATATCTACTTATATCCCCTGACGCGAAAAGAGTAAGAAAACTGATAAGGTAGAAAAGGAAGAAACCAAGGGAGAGACGATAAAGACAATGAGAAGGAAGAAAAAAAAAAGGGAAACAGTGAGAAGAAAGAAAAAGGAAGAGGAACGAGAAAGAACAACATAAAGAAGAAGGAAGAAAGGGAAATAAAAGAGGAAGATAATATGAGAGAAAACCTCATTCTCCTATTTTCATTTTTCTTCATCTTTTTCTAAAGTTGGTATTTCTGAAGTTATTTTTTTAAAAGCTGTGAAGGTGTTGTTACTCTGGCGAACCATTTTCTTGTGAATTTCTTTCATTCTTTTATTTTAGTTTTTATCTTTGATTTTATCTTCTCTCTTGTTTTTTATCTTTTAAATTTTGATTTGATGGATTTGATGGATTTATTCATATTATTTATGAGAATGATATTGAATCAAGACTAAAGAACTAAGGAATTCCTTTGGTACCAAATGAATATTAACGAAATATGTAACCTTTAACTGAATGATTATGAAGTAAACTGACGCACAAATATTTAGGATCAGACGGTAAGAAGGTATGAGATGCCTTACTTGGATTGATCTCTGTCAAATAGAACATTTCACATGCAGAAATCCACAAAGGTTTGGGTTTTAATAGTTTCAGTTAAAGGTTATACGTTCATTTTTATGTTTGTATGCAGAAACCCACAAAGGTCTGGGCTTTAGTTGTTTCAGTTAATAGTTACATATCATTTTTATGTTTAGTATCCTAGTCATTATTTCTTATTATAAACATGTTATGAGAGAATGATATTTTCAGTTAGTTGGACTGATTATAGTTTGAAAACCCTAAACATTATTGAGATTTATCTCACGTGTGTTTATGTTCGAACCTTTTTAGAAAGTAAGCATACTAGTATGTGTATCTTTAGAGATGGATGAAGCACTATGATTAAAGACTTTGAGGACCATTTATAAACCTTTAATTTATCATGTTTTCAGGGCCAAGATTACATGAATTATATAGTCTAAAGCATGAAAATCAAGGTTATTTGGTGAAAAAGCATGAAGAATTGAATTAGGAACTAACATAACTAATTCTTGCTTGTTTTGAAGGTAAATTGATGTAAATTGTAGTAAGGATGAAGTTAAAGGAGTTGGAGTACAAGATGGAAGATCGAAAAAGTCCTCAAGCGCGTTCCAAAAGCAATTTCATTACTTGAAGAGGGCGTATTAGCGCAGAATAACATGCCAAAGCATGCAAATTGCACATAAATAGCTAAAACCTTCTGGAAGAGTGCGCTAACACATGCTATCATGCAGAATTTCCCTTTTGAAGAGCGATTTCTGTGCGCTTGAGCACACTTGCGCAATTTCGTAATGTGTTTTTACCGCACTGGAGCGCGCTAACTAGAGGTTTAACGCCCTGCTGAAATCCAATTAAGACCCAACTCCTTAAACTAACATAGGGCACAAATCCATTACCTATAAAAGGCGATTTTCAGAACCAATTAAGAACCTTTTGATAATTTTGAAGATCCAAATCCTATTTTGGTCATTGAAGCGCGTTCTTCATGCTTTGGAGTACTGGAGGTGGGTTGAATTTGGGAATACATTAGGGACTTTGAAGATTCACAACACCATCACACCAATGGAGCTTGGGAAGCTTTATCATTTGTTGTGTTTTTGAATTTGCTATGCTAGGCTAAATTTCTTTGTAGTTAGGATTAGATGCAACCCAATTGAACTTTTGTGTTTATAGTTTGAATGTTTAATGCAAATTTTCCCTTTTTATATTGCATGAATTTATCTATTCTTAACGTCTTCTATGAGTCTGATCTCTTAGATTGATTTAGGGTGATTGTATGACAATAGGAATGTTTGATAAATTCATCGTAATCCTTTTGATTATAAGAATAGACACAGGATAATTATGCAATCTTATGATTGTTGATCTTTTTTTTCCCCGTAAACTTGATTCTTGATCTTAATGGTTATCTTCTTGGAGAAAAGCCGGGAAATAATTAAGATTCTTTCAATATTATAAATAATTAGAGTATCAAGGGATTGATTTAGAGGAATTGATTGATAATATATTAAAGGCAGTTACTTAATAATTTAATTCATAACATAAAGGAGAAATCGAACTCCTAACTGCACATTTATTGATTGTCAAAACAACCTTCAATTTACTTTCTTGCTTTATTAATTATGTTATTTTGCCTATTGTTTGGTTTTAATTTTTTATTCAAAAATTCTCGTTATTGGTTGTTAAATAAAGCGTAAATAATAAATTGATGATTGAAATTCTAATCCTCGTGGTAACAATCCCGTATTCCATTACACTTTATTATTTTTATGGCCGGTGCACTTGCTGAAGTCGCAACAACCGTACGGAGTTTATAGTGATTATGTGTACCCGTGGAGTAACTTTAGTTTTCTAACCCGATAGAGTAGAAATGTTTTTTTTTTCATTTTACATGATGATGTAATCTAGTGTATTCCATATATACTAGTGAACTTAACTTATTGTTTAATGTATACTTAAATTTAATTTTTAGGATATTTTTTTAATATCCGCTGCATTATAATCTCATATTCTTTATTAATTTTATTTAAATTAAGATTTAAGAAGTAATGTAATATCATCTATGCTAATCAATTATGGAGTATGTTACAGAGGACATATTGGTTGGAAAATAAAAAGTAAACGAGTAGTATATTGGCTGTATATATGACGAGAATAGCTGCATAATTTTTTTTAGAAGCTTATTGAACGCGTCTATCTCTTGTTAACTCAAACTTTTATTTGTTTAATTTGGCTTCATTTATTTTTATTTATTTATGTATTCATCAACTTTTAATTCAAACTTTTTCATTGGATGTTCTTTATAGGAATAAGTGAGTCTGAGAGGAATCTAGGGCATGTTTTAAATCTGCTTCGAAAAACATAACTTTGGTTTTTAGGAAAAAAAAGCCGTATGATAAAATTTGTTTTGTAAAAAAATAAAAAATAAAAAATAAAAAATTGATTTTTTTTTTAATTTTTAAAATCAAATTTATTTTTGACTTTTGACTTTTTTTGGTAAACAGGTTTTTGACTTTTAACTTTAAAAAAAAAATCATAAGAATGCATATTTAATTAATTATTCTATAAAATAATACCAAAGTAAAAAAATTAAAACACCATCAAACACACTTTACACACGAAACTTTTAGGAGGCGTTTGATACGCGTCATTTTGAAGAATTTCTGAAAAGTTAAATTTTTTTAATTTTTTAATTTTTGAATATTATCGTATACTGTGTATAAAAGTTATTTTTAAAAATCGAGATTCTCAAATAAAAAAAATCACTTCTCCTCTACCCATTAAGAAAAGTGAAGAGACTTAAATTTCAACATTTCTATTTTCGAATAAATTTTTAGTGCTACTACTAATGATTCAGTGTATCTCATTAATAAAAACATTACATATTAACTAAATTTTTTTTTTTTGTCAAATTCTTTCTGTTTCCTCTGATGTATAATACTTCAATTGATGAAATATCCAGAAACTAGATGCAACATATGGATTTAAGATTTATTCCCTATTTTCTAATTTCTCCCTTTATTTTCTGTACGCCAGTTTTTGGAAGCCATTCAAAATGCCCTTAATGGGTCCCACCAGCATTAAAAAAGATATCATAGCTGTGTGTAGCTATGAAAAGTAATGACACATATCAACATTAGTACGCTAGCCAACCAATCCCAAACCGACAACGTAAGATAACTAAACTGCTTCAGCTTTCCAAAACCAGATACAAAAAACCACTTGTCGCCAAAGCCGAATCTCTGATTATTTTTACTACTTCCATTTTCACCTTTTATAGATATATGTAATAGCAGAATAAATAGATAAGGATAACATATAGCACAGTTACGCTCATTGTGCTTTCTCATGACACAACTCTGTATACTTGTCCAGAAGAAGAATGATCCATGAACACTAGCATTCACACGCTTGCTTCACTATATTTGCAGGCCTTTTTTTTTTTTGGGTAATCATATTTGCAAGCCTTTTATTCTTTGGTTTTCTTCCCTTTTCCTTGTTTTAGAATTGGAATTTTTCTTGGGTGAGATAAAGGGAAGAACTAATTGGGTAAGCAGCTAGGTCTAATATAGTAAAAGGGAAAAAAATAAATATAAAAGGCAAAGATGGGAAGGGGTAGGGTTCAGCTGAAGAGGATAGAGAACAAGATCAATCGCCAGGTAACTTTCTCCAAAAGGAGAGCAGGGTTGCTCAAGAAAGCACACGAAATTTCTGTGCTATGTGATGCTGAGGTCGCTTTGATTGTCTTCTCCCAGAAAGGAAAGCTCTTTGAGTATGCCACTGATTCATGGTAATATAATTATACCCTATATATTTTATTATACAATATATATATATATATATGCATTTTATATCATATATAGTAAAATAATCTCTCTATCACACAAGAGTGTGTTTGTGAGTGGAGTTCAGGTGATATATATATATATATAGTATCTCTCTGAGTATGCTGCTAATTCATGGTAATGCAATATCCTATATTATATCATGTCATATATGCATATTATCATATATAATTCATAGATCTGTATATAGTATATGTGTTCGGTTTTCCGTTGAGCCAAGATCAATGAACCTCTCCTGTTTTCTTTTTTTTCTTCTTCTAATTAATTTTCTTTTCTTTGTTGCTTTTGCTCCTGAGAAGGGTTTTGGTTTTGGGTTAACACACACACATGGAAATTCCATTCCTCTTTTTTTTTCTCTCTCTCTTAACTCTTATTTTTGTTCAGATCAAGTCTCGTTGATTATATATATTGAATGAACACAAATAAAGCTAACCCATAGATTCTTCAAAATAAAGAAGAGAACGATAGTTTTGCAGAAGTTAATTTGTTCAAATTTAACAAAGTTACACCCACAACGCATCCATTTCTGTAAGAATTTGTTGTCAATTTTGTGGAGACAACATGCGTAAACGATTTTGTGTTGCTCAGTGAAGTGTATATATACTCTTTTTTGTGCGTATTTTTCTCTCATCAGAAAGAACAATTATTATTATTTTTTTGCTGGAGAGAATCTACCCGTTCTAGCTACAAAATCATATAGAACCTACTGAACCTGGTAAAGCCCTTATTTAATTTTCTTTTTTTAGGTTAAAATTACTATTTACATGAGGTGGTGAATCTCTTGCAAACCATGAGGGGGAGTGATAGTCTTTGCCTACTTCATATGTCATATTCATTTTCCATGATCTCAAGTTTTTAAGCTGGAAAAAAAGATTTCCTGGCCTTAATAATTTTCATTTTTTTAAAAAAATCTAAAGTTCTGGTTTTCTTGTGCTGTATGCTCGCGCGAACTGCTTTTCTTTGGGTGATCAACACGCGTAATTGCAAAGATGTCCATTTTCTTTTCTTTTCTTTTTTTCTAAAGTTATTTTAAATAATTTTATTTAATATTTACTAAAACGATGTTATTTTTGGACAAAAATTATAATATATTTGTAATTTTAATTTATTTTAAATTTATAATAATATTTATCCTTCTAAATATTTAATTATTTAATTCTAAAACAATTACATTTCAATAAATATCAGATAAAATTATTTAAAATAATTTCATAGTTGTAGTTTATAAAGGGGCTACTTTTCGCTGGTTAATTTAATACCTATGCTTGTCCCGTCTCAGCAGATAGGTGCAATCCCCTAGATAAATCATGTCAACAGTTAACTAATTCAAAAAATGAACTTCTAATATCTTAGTACTTGATTGGATGCAGGTACAGGTAATTAATTTATTATCTGTTTCATTTCGGTTTTATATACCATCTACCTGTGGAATTTAACATTTTATACTAGCGATCGTCAGTGGATATGATTGCTGTGATAGCAATTTATGAAATTATATGTAAAGATTGTCCAATATGATATAATTGATGATAAATAATGATATAATTTATTTATATTTTATTTTTGTTATACTTAATCATTGAACAGCATGGAGAAGATACTGGAACGCCATGAAAGGTATGCGTATGCAGAGAGACAGCTAGTCGAAAAAGAATCTGAGACACAGGTTTGTCAATTGTCATTACATACATACGTAATTTATACATTCTCAAATACAAGCATATAATTTCTTGCTTGCATCACTATTTTACATCAAGGTCCTTCTCAGTTGTAAGAATTGAACTAAGCCTTGCATATGGATTGGAATATTGACATAAAAGTAGTGTATTCAAAACCGATATGTAAATATCAATACAGGACCGTATTATGGAGCTAAACGTTAGTTGTTGTTGTAGGGAAACTGGACCATTGAATATTCTAGACTCAAGGCAAAGATTGACCTTTTGCAAAGAAACCACAGGTACGGTAGATGATGATCTATATGCATGCTTTAATTTCTCGTTATTAATTGTTTGATTTGATCATTCACTCCCATGTGTCACACAGTGTGTCACTGAGTTAGTATAATCTTGAATCCTTTCTTCAGGAACTACATGGGAGAAGATTTGGCTTCAATGAGTCTCAAAGAGCTTCAAAATCTGGAGCAGCAGTTAGATACTTCCCTCAAAAAAATTCGTACACGCAGAGTACATATAATATTATAACTTGATTATATATGTCTCATTTGCATCCTTTATATATTATATACTTTGGCACTGATCATAAAAATATATTACTATATCTTAACAGAACCAACTCATGTCCGAGACAATTTCTGATCTTCAGAAAAAGGTTTGTCTTTGACTTCAAGTCTATCCAGGCTTTATTTTAGCTTTGTGTCTTGGAAAAATATTATATTTGTTACATTTAGCGGTCACTGGGAACACAAAATCATTATGAGTGTCTCTTCTCTAGATAGTGAAATTGATGTGAAGATTTGTGCTTTTATTATTCTCTATGACAGGAGAAAGGGATAAAAGAGCAGAATAACATGCTCGCAAAGAAGGTGACCGATATCTGCCTTTACAACTGTTTATTTGCATTTAACTGAGCTTCATTTTATTACAATTAATGCTTCTTCAACTAGTTCAATGCTCGTTGATACTATTATAAGGGTATAACCCTAGTTTGATTATTTTATACTTCTGCCTGTTAAGTTTCATTTTTAACATATTGTAGACTTCATAAGTCTTAAGTTGTTGAGTGGTGAAATTATTACTTTATTATTGTCCCTTTCTCTGATACTATTTTAACATAAACATTTAATCAAACACATCACTTAAACTAGTGTGATTGATAAGACTCACGAATGATATTTATTTGAGTTGAACTAGCGTGACTGATATCCTACACATTATATAGAAAATTACAATTTTCCTTTCTTTGTTTTACAAACTATATACACCTTGCTATGTGTGACAGAATAATTGTCAGTGTTTGTAAATTTAAGTTTCCTGACTTAACCATGATTGTATGCTTTAGATAATCCCTTATTTTCTTTTCTATATTGTTACAAAACCATATTTCATGGTCTAATTCAAATTATAGAAATTGAAAAATAAATAACTAATTAGGGGGTGTTGGTATGTGGATTTGGTATGGAATGATGGGAAAGTGGGGTGGAGAATATTTATTTACCATGTTTGGTATGGGTATTGTGAACAAAATGCCACCAAATTTTTTTTTCCAGTATTTTCCTTTTCAACTACACAAAGGCAAAATATTATCCCACTTAATCTTTGGTATTTTTTTTGCCATGGTCTTGGATTTTGAATGTAATATATTGAGTCAAAAATACCCTTGTAATATATGACATCATTTGTAAAGAGATTGCCCATGGTCTTTGATATTTTGGTAATTTCAATTCACATTCCTATCAATATTTTACTATCAACCAAACATACCATCAGTAAAATAATCCAACTTTTCCGGTAAAATTTTGGCCAACCAAACACTTTTTCATAACTTACTGGGAATAAAAAATTTCTTACCAAATCCCCAACAATCTTTTTTTCTCGGTAAAAAAGAATATCTCTCATACCAAACGCCCCCTTTGAATCCAAGTTCACCACAATATTTTTGTCAAAAATTAATTCAACTCAAAAGCTAAGTCGGTAGGTGAGGTTACATTAATGTTTTTTTATATGCCCCTCACATAAGAGTTTACTGGATTTGAAGAAATGACAATACACAAGTCCATCTACTTGTGTTAAGAAATTCCACAAAGAAAATAGGGGCGACGAAGATGGAACTCGAAACACCAATGCTCTGATACTATGTAAAGAACCAATTCAACCTAAAAAATTAAACTGATGGGTGAGACTACATTAATGATTTTTTATATATTTCTAACAATTTTTATGTACCAACTACTACTGAATACATCTTATTTTTATAAATATATTTTGAAACTCACCCCTTTATCGTGGTGTGCCATTGCTAGTAAAACTAATACAGGCTAATTTTTTTATGGTTCTAACATTTTGAAAAGCAATTCTTAACCCGGTGGAAGTGATTGTTACAAAAGTGATGAAACGGGAGCTCTATGAATGTAGTTTAGGCACTTGTTTTGAAAGGTTAATAATTTATTGATAGCCATATATGTTTGTCTATTAAGTATTAACATATATTGTGATATGAAATTAGATCAAGGAGAAAGAGAAGGCTACAGTACAGCAGGTTGCTCAATGGGAGCAGTCAAACTACAGGGTTGATACCTCTTTCTTACAACAGCAACCCCTTCCCACTTTGAACATTGGGTAAGGGTCACCTTTCTATGCTATGATATTGTAATAATTTAACACCTTCATTAGTTCATCTTCTCGTAACCGCTAGTCTAATTAATGCAACTCTACATGCGTATTTTTGTTTGTGCAGTGGCAATTACCATCAGGAAGCACCAGAACTGGGGAGGAACGAGCTTGACCTGACCCTGGAACCACTATATTCTAGCCACCTCCGATGCTTTTGAAAACTTGTTTTCTTTGAGGTTGATGATATTATAAAACTGCTGGCATAACAATTCTATGTCGTCGTGTTTGAATGCTTTATCTATATATGGCTCTCATGGTATATGGTTTTCCCAGCTTTTAAGACATTAATTTGAAGTGTATGTTTTTGTTGTAAGCATCTTGAATTTGAAATAGAAATGTATTTGTGGATCCCGCAAACTTTTTCACTAAATGAATAGACAAATTCATTAAAATAATAAGAAGTATGTTGAAATTACTTATCTAAATATATTAGACAAGAAATCATTACAGCTAATCTATTATTTATTCATCTTGGTTGGAAAATAAAACGTAAGCGAGTAGTATTGGCTGTATGATGAGAATAGCTGCATAGATTTTTTTTAGTATTAAGTCAACTTTTATTTGTTTTATTTCGCTAGGATTATTTTTATTTAAGTATTTCATCAACTTTTAATTCAAACTTTCTCCATTGGATGTTCTTTATAGGAATAAGCGAGTCAAAGAGAATCTGAATCTATAGGTTCTCGACTCTGAGACAATAGACATAAAGCTTAAAAGGGACAAAGATCGATGACAGTTTATTATGTCACTTTCAGTTAACATCTTTAAACTGCCTAAATAAATTATAATTTTGGGTGTATTTGTTAGAGAATAATATAAAATCACTAAAAAAGTCATCATCTAACGCTTTAAGGTTTTGGGTTGAAGTGATACTTATCATAATATCATAGTTTTCGGGACCACCAAGTCACAAGTTCGATTGTGCCATATCCAAGTTTCAAGTCCAAAGAATTGCGTGAGGGAATATATTAGAGAATAATATAAAATCATTAAAAAAATCAGCACCTAAAACTTTAAAATTTTAGGTTGAAGTGAGGTTTATCAGTATAGATGTAACCAATATTTTTAAATTCTTTGAATAGTTAGTAATCTTACACGTATAAAAGAGGGGGCGAGGAGTGGTCATCTTTGAAATAATTTTATATAGGGAAAATATTATCTTATGTTGTAGGAGAGTATTTTTACTCTCCTACACATACATCGACTTCTGTGTTACTTTTTTTTTTTTTTTTTTTTTCTTTAAGTAAGTGGATCTCACTTATAACTATCTATATGACATAAGAGAGCTTCTCTTATGTCACATGAGATTAATAAAGCCTTTTTATATATAACATTTAAGATTTATAATACTTTTGTTTCATACAAATCTGGCACAACCAACAATGTACGTATCACATTTTTTGAAATTATATTTTAATGTTATACGTACTGTGAGAATTATTACACGAAAGCCCCATTGACCTCATTAACGCATCATTCTATCAAGTGAAAACATAGTGAGTTTCGCATAATCATTCCCGGTGTTAAGCCCAGAGACTTGTCCGGTTCTACCACATGATCAAATCGTGGTGTGTTCTAAATGTCATTATTTCTTTTACCTTGTTCTCTCTATTCACATACAATATTTTAATAAGGGAAAAGTAAACGACGTCGTTGAGATAATTTTATTATCTCATGTTATAAGAGAAATATTAATTTTTTATTTTAAATTATCAATATTATTTTGTCATTAAATTAAGGGAAAATCATCTATCCTTTTAAAGGATATAAGTTTATATCTTTTTAGATCATTACCGTTGATTTCCGTCCATTAACGGTTATAATCTATTAGGCCAAACTTAATGGGCCAAATTTATTATTAATTAATTAATAATTTTAATCCAATAAATATAACCGTTGATGTACGGAAATCAACGGTTAGGATCTAAAAGAATATAAGTTTATATCCTTTAAAAGGATAGATGTTATTCCCATTAAATTAATTGTGTCAAATAATAATTTATAATAAATGACTGTCATTTGTCTTGTGATTTTTCAAGATATCTGCAAATTTAAAAGGGATAGGATATTGTGACAACCAAATAATGTTACTACCACATCTTAACCGTTGATTTCCGTCAATCAACGGTTATCATTTATTGCGAATTAATAATTAATTAATGAGTTTGATTTGAAAAATGATAACCGTTGATTGTCAGAAATCAACAGTTAAGATGTGGTAGTAACATTGGTAGTAGCATTATTTGGTCGTCACAATATCCTATCCCATTTAAAAACGTGAAATTTATTTTAAAAATGATAAATTGATAATTGATTTTCTCTTACCTAATTTGTCGAAAAAATATATTCACATATACCTAATTATTTTGACAAATTGTCAATATTATATTGCATTAAATAAAAAATTGGCATTTCATTTATTAAGTTAAATAGTAATTAAAAATATAAATAATTCTCATTTACCTTGTGATCGTTTAAAATTCTGCAAATTAAAAAATGTTAAATTTATTACCCTCCAATTTGATCATTTATTTTTCTTTCTCTTTCTTAATTTGTCAGAAAAAATCCGAAAATATAAATAATTATTTTGATAATTTGAAAATTTTGACATTATCATTTTGACATTATCATTTTGATATTAAATTTGAAATTATTGCTTAAATATTATGAACTTTTTCTAGTACATATTCTGTAGTGGATGATTTTTAAATACGTAAATGCATGCTACCATGTTATATTTGGGACAAAATGATTAGGTTAAATGCCGCGCACAAAGAGATTTACAGCAAGAAAAAGATCAACAACATCAACAACATCATCTACTCCTCCAATCCTAGAAACTCAAAATGTGCAGTCCAATGTTGCCATACAAAATGTAGGCCAAGAAGATCAAGTTCATTCTCCATCCCAAGAACCAGCTGATGTACCACTTGAAGTACAACGGGTTAAGAGAGCATGCAACAAATACTGGGTTGTTGAAGTTATAGGTATACCATTTAATATCTATATTGAGTTTTAATTTTTTTTATGTATGCCTGTGTCATTATTTTTATACTAACAAAAAACACTAAATATTATGTTATAGATGATAGAGGAAGGAAATCCGAGGAAAGATTGAGGATCAAGGATGTTTTGGTACTGCCGGAACACAAGAAGGTTTTGGTACAATGGTCCGAAGATGGTCAACCTGTTGGGGATGGTTCTTCACTTTTGAATGTCTTTTTGGGACATCTTGCATGTAACACTAATATATTCCCCATAAGTTATCCGAGGTGGCCTGATGTACTTCCCTGCTATAAGATTGATGTTTGGGAAAACACAAGTAAGGTATATATGTTCTTTTAATTTACTTCAGTGACCTTAAGTTATTATGAATTGTTTCTGAATATTTTTCACATTGCAGAAAAAGTTTGACCTTTGCACTGATGACGAGCACGACTATTGTATGGGAAATATAGGTAAAAAGTGGAAGGATAATAGGCACAGGTTGTGTGTTGAATTTATTGACAAAATCAAAACTTTTGAGGAAAACCTAAAAAATTATCCAGACGGTATGACTAGAGAGCAGTGGGCTGGTTTTTTCACTTATAAGACAAGTGAGAAAGCACAGGTAATGAGATAAGCATGCATATATTTTCTTAATGTGGTTTACTTGACTACCTATAATTATGTTTTGTGGGACAATGCAGAAATATAGTGAGATTAATACAAGAAATCGAGCAAAACAGACTATAATGCATACACTTGGTGCTAAATCTATTGCAAAGACAAAACACGAATTGGTATTTCCGTAAATTATAATTTTTTTATTTATATCTGACATTGTTTGAATTTAACTAACATTTACCATATTGTCATTGCTTTAGGAAAAAAAAAATTGGACGCAAAATTAGTAGGGGGGAGATGTATACCATTGGGCATAAGAAAAAAGATGGCAGCTTTGTTAGTGAGGAAGCTAGATCAAAGAATGTAAGTATGTTCTTTGTGAATAAGGAAGCTATACATCCCTGTTGAATTAATATTTGATTTTGTTTTGTAGGACGAATTACTAGAAGAAATTCAAGATGTATCTGATGAAGATGAAGCCTTTGAACTTGTGTTTGGGAAGGAGCACTCAGGTCGCGTTAGAGGAATGGGGTTTGGGGTGGTTCCATCTCAAATGCGTAAGCGCAAAGCCTGTGCAGAATCATCTTCTAACAGTGGTCCTAGTCAAGCTGAGTATAATTCCCTTAAAGAAGAGCATAATTCCCTTAAAGAAGAGCTTGACACTTTAAAAGGACAGATGGCTGCACTTATACAGCATATGGGTGGTACACTACCCCCTAATTTGGTATGTGTGTATATATATTTTTCTTTGAGTGGTAGTTGAATTTTGAATAAAAAACAAGTGTCAGGTGCATTTATTTGATTTGATTTAGCCTGCTGTTTATGATTTAGCCTTTGGGTTATTGCTAAATTCAGTAAATTACAAGTGTAAGGTGCATTTGTTTGATAAGGAAGTAATTGCCCTGCTGTTTATGATTTTGCCTTTGGATTTTTGCTAAATTCAGTAAATGTGATATGGAGCTTTTTGGATTGAGTTTATTTAAATCATCAATTAGATTGGTTTGATTTTCTGGTCGAGTGTAAGGTGCATTTGTTTAGGTTGCATAATACTGAATTTTGTACTTCAATTTTGAACTTGTGCTGTAATTATTGTGATAGATAATTAGGATTTTTAGTCTCAGGAGCTCACCTGCTCTGTTATTGTGCCCACATTTATTTGTGCTATTTGGTTTCAGAGAGTGATGTTGATAGTACCACCTATTGATGACACTATTGAAGGTTGAATAGTGTCTAGAATAGTGCCTAGAATAGTGCCTACAACCGCATCTGATTAGAATTCCTAAATCAGTGATTTTCTGGTCATGTTTTCAAAAAAAAAAGAGTGATTTTCTGGTCAAGTGATGTTGATGGCACTATTGAAGGTTAAATAGTGCATAGAATGTGACATTCGTATTAATTTGGTTCATGCCTGTAATGATTTCATTTCTATGAAGATTATCATTAATGTATGTTTTTTTTTTTTCAAATGTAACAGGATGCAGATATGGGCTCCCCAGGAATAAGAAGATCATCTAATGCGAGTCATAATCCAGCAGGCGGTTCATCACCTATTGTTCCACCACAACCTTGAATATTTTATGTTGTCATTCATTATGGATTTTGCTTTATGTTGTCATAATTATGAAGTTTAAGGTTTGAGAGAGTGTAATGAATAATTATAATGTCTGAGGGGCTCTCTATCAGGCTGTTTTGAGGATTATCCTTCGCTCTCTATTTTAGCTTTTGGAGACTCTTTCTCTTTTCGGTTTTTGTAGACTGGAAGCATAACTCACCTTGTGGTGAGGGGTGTGTCTAAATATTATACTATGTTAAATATTTTGTTTTATAATTTCTCTTATTAGCTGATCAATATGCTATTTGTTATTCTTGTGATGAAATTATACCCTATTGTGCTTTTAATTAATTCTGGAAGAGTGTATGGATATGAATTCCTAAATGCAACAGTTTAATTATTAAATCATTACATAAAAATTTAATAAATACAAAATTTATTTTGGAGGCTAACAAATAGCTTTATTATTAGTCAAATTGAAATGAATATTTAAAAAAAAAATATTTAAATAAATATTGTTATAAAAAATATTGCAATTAGTATTTAAGCAAATAAAAAATCGAAATAAATGCTGTTTATTAAAAAAATTAAATAAATATTTATATTTTATAAATCACATACCGCCTCAGAATGGCATTTGAAGGCGGTTAATTCAATTTCTTAGCACACACACAAACATCGCCTCAGTATGACATTATGAGGCCGAATAGAAAACCGCTACAAATAGCGCCTAAGAATATTACCTAGAGGCGGTTAGTACAACCGACCGAGATTAAAATTTTAAGGCGGCTACCTAATCGCCCACGATTGAAATTTATACGCACTTATCTAAACCGCCTGAAATTGATATTTCTAAGCGGTTTACAAAACCGCCTCTGATTGTATGCTTTAGGTGGGTATATAAACCGCTGGAAAGTATCTTTTGGAGTTGTTTAAAAAAACCGACAGATAATTTACAACACAGGCAGTTAGAAAAATCGCTGCGAAGTATGCTGTTCAGGCGGGAGACTAAACCGCCGCATATTATAGTTTAGAGGCAGATATTCCAGCGGTTGTTTTAAACCACTTCAGATTGTCTCGCGGCAGAGTTAAAGGCGGCGGTCTCCAGACCGCGTTAAAGCTTCTATTGGAGGCGGTTTGAACCGCCTAAAAAAGAAAAAACAACCGCCTGGAATTGACCCTTTTTTTTGTAGTGACACCATAGATAATTTTTATTTGTGTGACGCAATCTTTTAAAATCCTTTCAAATTTAAAAATATCAAATTTATCATTAATAATAATAATCGGATCATTGATGTTTTTGTTTTTATTCAAAAAAATTAATCCCCTCTAGAGCATTTTCTTTTCAAAAAATTAGAAAAAAATGAATCGTCAAAATTTTATTATATTAACAAATAAATATTATGCTTTTGAATTTTTATTATTGAGTCTTGTTGGCTGTGATAGCTAGATTAATTCCATTGGACCAACCAGGGGATATCAAAAATAAGTTTTTATCTCGGTCTTATAGGGTGTGCTGACAACCATTCTGTTTTTTGGCATTTTTTATGAAAAGAGACAATTCTTTTCTTTTTTATGTTTTGGAACAGTTTTTGAGAAAAAAATGTGTTTGATTACGTGTTCTATTTTTATTCCGAGAATGAGAATTGCGTTTGATAACATAACAAATAATATAATAAAAAATAATTTCCATTAAGTATAATTTTTTTTCGAATCATCACTTTCCGTTTCATAAGGTGTGGTGGTAGCGGCGGCAGTGTTGGTGTGAAAGTTAAAAAGGTAAAAATATATTTTTGAACAAAAATTCTTAATTTACAGTCTAGGACTCTATCCAGGAGAGCTAATTATTATTTTTTATATACAATAATAAAAAGCACCGATCCCAATTAATTTGGGATAAAAGTGATGTTGATGTTGATGTATATACAATAATAAAAAGATATATAACCTAATAAAAATTACTCAAATATTTATTACTAAATTACTTATTGTAGTGGCTCGAGAGCTGATTATTATTGCACTACACCAAATACCTTTTTTCCTGTGACTAGTACTAAAGTCCTACTTCTGTACACCACTGACTGTCATGTTTCTTTAGAGATGTGCAAAATAATCAAAAAATTAAACTATATCATGAATCGAACCGAACTGTTCTCAAAATAATCGATTTTTAAAAACAAATTCATGAACCGAACCGGTTTTTAAAGAACCAGTTCATAAACCGAACCAGTTTAAGATTCCAACCGTTTTGAACCGAACCGAACCGAACCGTTCCCAACCGAACCAAACCAATTTTGAACCGAATCGAACCATTTTTAAACTGAACCATTTAAACTAATTCGATTCGATTTTTCATAAAATTCAGTTCGGTTCGACTGATGCACGTCCTACTTTTTCTCTGGGAATTGTTGCAGAATCAAAGGTTCACAGTACTAAAGGCCAATACATGTGTTCCTTTAGGTTTAAATTGAATTCATTCAAGACAATGCAATACCCACTCCCGCATTGCAACCCCAAGGTGTTAGAGAGGGAGAGTACAACAGTTAAAACCAAAAAGCGACCACTAGTTTGCCATTTTAAATATATTTTGCCAGAAAAAAACCCACTAGTTCACTTTAAAAATGTGTTGCCAATAAATCATCACATTATCATAGTCCTTAGCATTTACTCGCTGTACTAAAATCTTCAGTCTTCTACAAGCCGGAGTCTTTGTTCTTGTGTCAAGTTTTTTAAGCCTTTTCATCAAAAATCATCAGCTGCAAAATCAATCCAGATAGCGACAAGTCAAAGCCAGAGTTCAGTAGTTATCATAAATACAAAAGAAACACAAGGTATCACGGAATCAAGGGGTACGTACTAATTAATGGGCTTTGCACGAGAGACAAAAGTTTCCTGCCGACACATTTTAAAAAAAAATGGGGTACAAAATTGATGTATGAGAGGAGTCAGGAGAAATATTTTATCCAGCAAGAGGAGAAAGTATTTCTCCATAATTTAATACACTTTTTTTTTGGCTTTTAGTATGTTAAAAATACCTATGTTGCATCAACATCGACACGAAACATGAAACACGATACAATATTATGACATATTAATTCTAAAAAAAGTTAAACTTCAATACGTTAGGATATATTTTGATATTAGATAATATTTTTAATTTCTGTAGTGTATATTATATTTAATATTCAATAATTTAACAAAAAAATAAGTTAAACTTATAATATCTAGAGTAAATACCCCTTTTGGTCCTCAACAAATTTTACGATACCCGCTTTAGTCCCTAGCAAATAAAAAGACCCATCGTGGTCCCTAAAAAATTTAAAATGGACCCATTATAGTCCTTTTAGGGACTAATATGAGTATTTTTTGAATTTATGAGGGACCACGATTTCAACTAAATGGGTCCATTTTGAGTTTTTTAGGGACCACGATGGGCCTTTTTATTTTCTAGAGACTAAAACGGGCATCGTGAAATTTGCTGAGGACCAAAAAAGGTATTTACTCTAATATCTATCAATTTTGTAAAGAAATGTAAGATATCATCAATATTTATATTAAACTCAATAAAATAATAATCATTATTGCAATCCAACAAATCTAATAGTTGAAACTAAAAAACGCAACGTAACGCAACCTTTGAACTCTTTTTGAGTCTTTGCAACACATATTGGAGTGTCGAAAAATGTCGAACACGACACATCAAAATTTTTGAAGTGTCACTTGCATTGTAGTGTAAATTGTTTAAGGAAAAGAAAATACTAAACTAACACCATTATGTCAGATACCAAATATCTCTTATATAACTATTTTTAAATTGCTAAATGTAACTGAAGTTTAAGTTCCTGGGCATCCTATTAATGTTTCCAATGCTTTTTAATTTGTCGAAGTATAGGAGTCTTCAATTTTCCTGCATTTAATATATAACATTTTTATATTATAATATCGGGGAACCAATTGATTATACCAAAACAAATCGCCCGATAAGAACTTCTGTTTTTGCTGGGTGAAAAAAATAAAAGCTTTCCACTGGATATTGTGATCAATTATTCGGCGGAACACTTAATCTATGAAAGAAATTTGCCAAAGCCTTTAAAGCCGAAGTTATAAATGTAAATTGCAGTGTAGAAGTTTATATATTGCGTACCTTATTACAAATAGGACATGTTTTACTTCTCTCCATCCAATCATATATACATCCAAGGTGGTAATGGTGAGTGCACTTTGCAATAATCCTAGGATTTTGCTCAGTGTATTCTGTCACGGAAAAGTAAGACACTCACACTAAGATAACTTTTTAAAGAGGGGGGATATTTTGACTACCAAAAGTGTCTACTACTATCTTACTACCTATCAAATCACCATTGGATCAAAGAGAGAGAATGTTGAAAAGTTTTTGAAGAGAGAGAAAATATTAATCCAATGATGATTAGATAGGTAGTAAGGTGGTAGTGAAAACTTTTGGTAGTCAAAATATCCTCCCTCCTTTTTAAATAACGTTTTTTTTAAAATTACATAATTGCAACACTACAACCTTAATCACAGCTACAATTTATGCTAATAACAAATCGTAAGCTTTGACTAAAAATCATTTCTGACCTTCAAGACATGTAGGACAGACATCTTCTTCAGATGAGTGTGATTGACATGTAGATTGCAAATTGGTGGATTCAGCTATTTGGTTTGACAGAGTGCTGCAGCATGGCAATTGTCTATCCTGTGAACAATAACAGAAGACAATCAAAAGAATTAGAAATCCGGGCAATATAAAGTAGATCCTAAATTGGCACTCACACGGAATCAAGGAGAAAGTTACATAGGTGAAACAGGAATCTCGAATTCTAAGATCATCAACAATTTCTTCTTCTTCTTCTTCTTCATGCCTCGGCCCGGTAAAACAAAAACAGATGCAACCCATAATGCCGTTTCTCTAGGAGAAGCAAAGAAAATTTGGGGGAAAGTAAAGTAGTATGGATTTAATTGAGTAAACAATAGTATCGGGATTTTTGTTGTTGTTGGTA